GACAACAGCGTGCTCAGCCATGGTGTTTTAGTTGGAGGGAAAGGAGGCAGAAGGATCCCTAATCTCTCCTGCCCTTTTCTTTTTCTGTCAATGGCAGGCACTTTCTGGCCCTGTAGAAGTTATGAGATACATGTAAATACATCTACTGTTACCATCTTCTGATCCAGGATCCTGACCCAGTCTACCCTCGGCCCCACATCAGGGATATTCAGCTTTTCATAGAGGCCCCGGTACTCTGCACACTGCTGTGTCACACGGTCATGGAGCTGCTGGATGCTGCAAGAAGGAAAGGCACATGTGTCTGTGTCAGTTTGGAAGGGAGAGAGACCAGGTAGGGTTTGTGGAGTCCAAATTTCACCTGTAAGACTAAATCGTTGTCTTTTTGTGACACTGACCTCCTTCAGCAATGGAGGGATGTAGCCTGGTACTCTCAATTTCTAAGAATGTCTCAGACATTCCATCTCAGAAGAAAGATGGGAATAACTGCTGGGAGATTGGGGTATCCCTTCCCATCCAGGAAACAATTCTCCCTTCCTCATTTCCATCCAGAAGGGCTGGACAGCAAAGCAGTGAGGGGGCAAAGCGCTAGAGGCCAACCAAAGTTCTCCCCTTCAAACAGCCAAATGACTCTCTGTGCTTGTATTAGGACCGGCCTCCCTTCCAAGAAAAGTACATTTGCCCTAGGCGCACAGATCATGAATGTGGCACACCATTTAGCTCAGCATTCATCTAGAAGTTTCCACAAGAGGTCCCAGTTAAGGTCAGGAGCTCTTTAGTACCAGCTGTGTACAGACAACAAAGACCAAAATCCAGGTGTGACAGTGATCCCTGATGACGGCATTGAGGCTAGAATACAAGAGGAAAAGGATGAAACAACTTATACATGGCAATGACTGGCGTCAGCTTAGAACCTCAATCTATCTTGGGCTTCCCAATTTGTCAGGGCCCTGATGGTGCCAGCTCCCCAGCCACACTCACTCTTTCTCTATCTCAATAGCCTGGGGGTGCTTCAGCCTCTTAGCACGGTCCACGTCCAGGAAGAGGTCTTTCAGCAGGGTCTCAGCCTCCTTCAGGTTCCTGGCGTTCTCTTGCTGGAATTCAAAGGCCTTGTTCTTTTGGTAATTGCTGGTGTCCTGGAGCCCAGAGAGGACAGAGG